TTACTTAGTGATATAAACATGTGAAGAATTTTAGATTTCTTGGCTGTTATTCTTTAGCCCAGTTAGAGAAGTCTGAAGGAAGCTGTTTGGTCAAGGTTAAAGAATAATGCTGAGTGAGCTATAACCATGGGAACCAATGCTTCTAGGTCTTCCTCAAATATGTTAAGAAAACATTCCATTCCAACCAGTTACAATGAGCTGAATCTTGAGGCATTTTGCTGGGTATAACAGATTATTAAAATGATAAGACAAATGCATGGCAAAATAAACTTTAATTTTGCTTGATAAGTTTTCCAAAGTGTGTCTCCAGGAAAGCTCTGAATAAATGGCTGACTGTTTTGATAAGATATTTTGAAAGCAAATTCACATATCTTCATCCCTCTGCATGGTTTGGTAGACTCTTAATGCTTGAGGCCTGCCTTTTAGATGCAAGTTAATGCAAGTCTCCTGCACGTGTTTTGGGTAAAGTAGCCTATGGCACGGCAAAGGCAGAGCTTTGACAAGGTACAGAATCTGGTGGCAGATAATGTAGGTTTGTGTTGCTCCAGCTGGTGGAGTTGGAAGTCAGAGGGCCCTAAGATGTGAACACAAGGGAAAGGTATCCTCTACTTTCTGCTGTGTTTTGTTGTTTGTGTGTTTTCATGATAGTACTTGTCTGTCTGATTGAAAACTCAGCTTAGAAAGTGTCGTGCAGCAGTACGATGGTTGGAAATACTACCTACTCAATTAGAATGAAATCATCTTCTGAGTATAGACTCTTGCTAGGTACAATATTGCAAATGGGGCTTATTTGTATCCGTAATATGACTGCTGTTTTAGTCCTAGGTAACAATTATAACAAATCTATTTTCTTGTTATGGAGTTTTTTTAGGGGCATTTTGGATAGTACTGTTTCACTAGTTCCCTCGCCACCCAGGAATAAGCTTTCCTAATATAGATCAACAGCATGAACAGTATCTACAAACCTGATGTACACTTGAGAAAACAGATCAGAAATGTCTTGGAAGAGGGGTCTTTTTGTTTGTTTTTTTTTGTCTTGTTCTTGTGTTTCCCCCCCCATAGGTGGTGGTGAGCCCTGTCCTGAATAGCAGGGGTGCTTACGAGTGTGATTGCCAAAGCCAGGCTACTGTAATGACATTCTGTTTTTCTGGAAAAGAAATCCACAGGATGCAGTCCCTAATACTAAGCAGATTAACTGTGTGTAAATGTTGTAATTGAAATTAACTGGCGTGCCGACTATTGCATCACACAGTTAATGTACGGAATCCTCTTGACTTAACTGTATGCTTACACGCTGTTTCTTGGTAGGCGCTTAAGTCATTATTTAGAATGGATAAACAGAATTGGATTTTTTGTTACTGGGGAACAGCTAACCCTTTTCAAATTTTGGCTAGCCTGCTGTGTTAGAGACTTGATGCTTTGAATACTTTCAGAGAGACGGCATGGGCACTTTTCCTTAAGCCTTTGTCTAAATCAGGACTTGAAGATGAGCTCACTCACTCTCTTGTGATAGCAGTGATTGAATTTATGGTATAGGGCAGTCTTATGCACTTTGTTCTGAGCCAGACGTGATGAAAGGTCGTTGGGCTTCATGTGCTGTGGGCTCTGACAAGCGTTGCAACTTTGAGTCTGAGAGCTTTGGTGTTTCAGACTCGGCTTGATAAATAAACAGAAAGACCCCAAAGAAAACTTCCAGTGATACTTTTATGTACTCTGTGTGTTCTTTTTCCTCTGCTATTTTATATATAACCTCCTGACATATGGTTGCTCTGGAGAGCTCAAGAGAGCTCTTCTCTTGTTTATCCATATGTGGTATCTGAACTTCAACCAGGTTATTGGCTTCCCTTTTTCCACTTGTTTTTAAATTCCTCTGACTATAGAGAAATAGTGTATTTTTAACAAGATATTTTTCACTTGCTAGATTGGTTGTAGATTCAACCTATGCAATCTGTAAGTGTCCTTATTTAATTAGTTTTATTTTTTAACCTGCATACATGACACTGTAGAGAGTATATCAGGTTAAGCCCAACTTTTTATGGGTTAGGGTTTCAGCTTGTGACAAAACTACTGTAATTGAACAAACTGTGGAGCATGGTTTCAGCCTGAAGCAACTGCAAAATAATGTAATTCGGGCTGTGGTTGACAGCTTGCTGCTCCCAAAAAGGGAAGGTATAATTCCTCCTCATGCTTCCCCTGTTCTCTTTCCCTGCACCACTTCCCTGCTCCCAAAGGTGTGGTTCCACCATCTTTCTTGGGTTTGCACTGAGAGTGTTTGCAGAGATGCTTATTGTGGCCCAAATGAAGTGACTTCACTTAAACCACAAATTAATTTGTACATCTGATTTGGTAGTTCATATTAATTAGAGCAGGAAACATGAGAAACTTTAAGCTTAAAATTGTGCTGCTGAAAAGGTAAGCCTCTGTGTGTGCTCTTATTTATGTTTAAGAACAGTATTTACTTAGCTCCAATATTTTCATAAGGCTATCGGTGAACTTTCACTTCTGAATGTGATTCATACGGTTTAAGTTGTTTAAGTGCTGTCCAATTCCCTAAATGTTTTTAATATCGTTGCATGCTGTGATTTGCTGCCTTCCAAGTAAAACTGATGGAACCCTGTGTGTATGTGTGCATGCACATACTCTGGCCTAATGCAGCTGAGGTCCAGTGGCTTAGTCTAAGCTGTTGATGGAGGTAGATTTAGCCTATGCTGACTGTCTGTCCTAAATCAATTACTTTTATTCAGTTCCACAAATCCTCAAGGTGGTAACAGTTTAACACAACTGTTTGCAAAGTGAGTTTTTTTCAACACTGATTTAGATTAAACCACACAAATGCACTATTGCCACTTCATACACATTCCTTAGACCTGATGAAACATAGCTGGGTCTGCTGCTGTTTTACTACAAGAGGAGAAAATCTGGCACTTTGTTAGTGCTGTGGGAAGTCACCCTGTATTTAGCTGCTCACCCTTTTTTGCTCCTCTCTTGAGTAGAGCCTGGCTGGCCTCCCTGAGGCTGTTCTGGCAGGAGGAGACTGCTGCGGGCTGATATGAGTTAGCTGCATATGTAAGCAAAGATGCCGTAAAAAAGCTTCTCCCTTGTACCCCCTGTGTTGCCTGGCACTTCAGTTGTTTCAGTTAGAGTGAAGAAGTCTCTGTGGGTGGAGAGTGATCTTGTAGGTAGCTAGAAGCAATCCCACAGACGACTTAGATACCAAGAAAGAGACAATATTCTGGAGTTTTATTTTGGGACTACTTGACCTGGTTTCAGGCAAGATTTGTCCTGTTTTTAGCATTTTGGATTTGAGATGTATCAGAATGGGAGCAAGAAGGATGAAATGAATTCGGGTAAAATTTCCTGAGAAGAAATACACCTTCAGGTGGTTTTTGGCTAAACACCAGTCTGCAGGAAGCCTGCAATGTGGTCTTCAGAAGAAAATTAGCTCTTCTCTCTCAAACTGTTAGGGATTCCTCCAATACCTATGACAAATTAGGGTATCGGCCCATGAACAAGCTATTGAACCATGAACGAAGTTGTGACTGTGCATTGCACTGTGCACAGTCAGTACCTGCTAGTGTGTTAATTGTGCTAGGTACTGTATTCTCTTAACCTATGGTGAATGGGAGGTAGCTTGTTGAAAGATGGGCAGGCTCCGCTATGCTTACCACAGGGGAAGACCATGCTGTCCTGGTTTCAGCTGGGATAGAGTTAACTGTCTTCCTAGTAGCTGGTACAGTGCTATGTTTTGAGTTCAGTATGAGAAGAATGCTGATAACACACTGATGTTTTCAGTTGTTGCTCAGTAGTGTTTAGGCTATAGTCAAGGATTTTTCAGCTTCTCATGCCCAGCCAGCGAGAAAGCTGGAGGGGCACAAGAAGTTGGCACAGGACAGAGCCAGGGCAGCTGACCCAAACTGGCCAACAGTGTATTCCATACCATGTGACGTCCCATCTAGTTTAGGAACTGGGAAGAGGGGGAGGGGAATCGCCGCTCGGGGACTGGCTGGGTGTCGGTCGGCGGGTGGTGAGCAATTGCCCTGCGCATCATTTGTACATTTCAATCCTTTTATTACTACTGTTGTCATTTCATTAGTGTTATCATTATCATTATTAGTTTCTTCTTTTCTGTTCTGTTAAACCGTTCTTATCTCAACCCACGAGTTTTACTTCTTTTTTCCCGATTTTCTCCCCCATCCCACTGGATGGGGGGGGAGTAAGTGAGCGGCTGCGTGGTGCTTAGTTGCTGGCTGGGGTTAAACCACGACACATGCATATGGGCACTGACCACAAAGTTGTGAGGATACTGTAAGCGTACACCATAGCTTATGCTATGGCAGGTTTTTCATCTACCCATAGCTTTAGTTTAATTGAACACATTATGTGAGCTTAACCAAAAGAAAATGTTTAATGCTGCCTCCTTCTGCCAGCCAGGTAAGGAGAATGACTTACAGCATGTTTGAACTTTACTTACTGCTAACAGTGCTGCTTTTTTTACTTTGAGGGAGAATGCAAAGTCGTGGTGGCAGAGCTCAGCGGGTTGGTTCCAGTGGTTTAAGTCAGCATGTTCTTGTTATAGAAAATGGAGAGCCAGTGGGATAAATTTTGAATCCTGCAGATGTTTAATGACAGGTTTCAGCAAACTTACGAACTCCTCAACTATGTAGCACAATACCAGAGCCAGACACCATGGATAGTATATTTCAAAGAAGTATTTAGAAGTTGCCAGTGGAAGCTAAACTTTGAAAAACATGAAGTCATTCTTGAAAGGGTTCAGATTTGTTAAATATCATGCGAACAGCCACCTATTTCTTGAAGCTAATGTTAGTATGCCTCGGTGGGGAAAATACTGTATAGATGTTAGCTCACATATGAAAGAGGGAAGCTTTTGCATGCAGACAGGGGAAAGTACTGTTGCTGGTTTAGTGTGGCATTCTGCTCAATGCATGTTTCGTCTTTTTATGTGAGTCTTAAATAAAACCTTTTGGATTTTTCTCTTTCAGAATCGTAATGAAATAAAAAATGGAGCGATCCTTCGATTAACAACATCTCCAGTGAGTTACTGTTCTGTTCTTCTCTTCCCTTGAAAGTAAAGATTTGATTAGTAAATCATTGTGAACTGACGTATGTATTTTTAAGCTTTAGCCACACTGTATCCCACAATCCTCCTCTAAAGGAGGATAATGGTGTGCTCACAAGATGACTTTGTTCTCTTTTTTTGAGTTATGGGGCAGGGGTGGTATCTCTGAGTGACATTTGGTGATAGGGTTAGCACAACTGGGTGTTTTTTGTCTCTCACTTCTTTCCCACTGGGAACAGCTTTCATGTCCAAGATAATCTCTGCTTCCCTGCTGTCATTGCAGCCTTACTCAAGTTGCTCCTTTTCTGCCCAAGAGAAAGGGCTGGGAGTTGAATCGCAGAAAGCTCTGCTGGGCAGCTCAGGTCAGAGCTTTCCTGCTCTCTGGGTTTCTACTGAGTGAGTAGCAACTGTAATACTGAGATTTTACTGTTTTCATTTTATTTTTTTTCAACACCACCTCCTTGCCAGCTCCTCAAAAAGCACGGCAGAGTTGCCGGTTGCCTTGTTAATGGCCTGTTTTCCTGCTGAGTTGAGCAGTACTGTTACCACATGCTGAAAGCCACTATTAGTCCCAGAAGATGTATGTCTAAGGCAGCAGCAATCCCATTTCCTTGCTGACAAATGTAGTGTGCCATTAAAATGGTTTACCTCTTCACGGTGGTGTTCTAGCTTCTGCAGATTCAAAGCATTCTTACGGCCAAACTCTGCCACCCTGTGCTGCAGCTCATTTGAACAGGTAAGACGGAGCTGTGGTGGTTTAACTTTTGGCTTTTGTTGAACCTGTTAAGAGTGACGTTGGTTACTCTGCCATAAAATGTGAAAACTTCTAGATGGAAGCCACACGGAGATTATGGATGTGTTTTTTGGATGTATCACTTTTCAGCTAGTAGGGCCTAGGCTCATGGTAAAGAAACAGAGAAATGTGTGTTGTCACTAGCTTCCCAGGTTCTTCAGGCATCATGTGCATTTCCACTCCTCCCCAGCCTGCTTAACCTGATGATGGCTTATATTGGATTTATGAGGTGACTGAATTTGTACGCAGGTTTGTGTATAAGTGGAAATTGAAGAACCCAAAATGGAAACATACACATGCCTCAAGTTTTTAAATAAGTGACTGCAATATTAATCTACAGGAGTGTAGCTTATTAACAGAAAGCACTTCTAAGCAGCAGCCAGCTGGGTGAAGACAAGAGATTTCTGTTATCCTTCATCATCTTTTTCAGTGGCCGTTATATACAGAGCTTTAGAGTCATAAGAATAAATGATAGTTTAAGACCATGGTTCTGTCAGAGTCTGTGTGGCTCCAGAGCCTCTTGCCATATGTCACCAGAACAGCCTTTTACGTGGGGAAACCACTTGCTAGTGGAGTAAACCCTATTTGGTGAAACTTCCTCAGAAACACAGCCCCAGCACCAGATCCTCCTAACCTTCAGGACTTCTTAAAAACAAATATCCACTCCACTGAAAAAGGGCTATCTACTGCCCAGACTTGGGATCTCATGAAATCAAAACAACATGTGTGGTTCATCAAGAACCAATGTGGTTCAAACGCACTGCATCATTCTTTTGTGTAACCACAGCATGCAGCAACAGCATGAGATGACTCATGGAATCGTTCCCTGTCTCAAAATCCATAACCAGTTGCACCATGCAAAACTGAAGAGAGGCTGTGCTGCGACTGATCTGCGGAAATGGCTGTCTGTCTGTCTTCATGATCACTTGTGCAATTGGAAATGTGACCTACAAACACAAAAGGCAAATTTTGGATTTAGAACACTTTCTTCTAATGCCTATGGGGAGGAAGGTGGGGTTTTGCATAAGTCTTTCTTCTGCTTGTTCTGTTTCTTTGGTGACTTGCCTTAGGGTCAGTCGGCCAAGACAGGGGCCCTTAGGATATTGAGGTATTTATTACCTGTTACCTACCAAATTGTGGACCACTCTGGCAATGGCCTGCAGTTATGAGTTACTCAGCCATCCTGTTAGAAGATACTTTCTAGTCTTCAGTGTTGATATTTATCCCTGAACCAGTGCTTATTTTCAAATTTTCTGACTTTTTAGAAACTTTTTGTTAACTTTTTCCCAGAATCAACGAGGTAGCTTGGGAGGAGGTTTCGAAGGACCAGACTGGTTTTTGTGAGATTAGAGAGTATTTGTATTCTTTAAATAGACATAAAATGAAGTTCTGCATATTCCCACCCTACAATAGTATCTTTGCTTTTAAGGTACTGTCGAAGTGGTCATCATAGAGGTACCTAAAATAGATAGATTAAAGACTTCCAAGCTGTGGGTTTTAGTCTGGTGACCCACACAACGCTTGTCGTTTATCCTGAAAAGCTAACAGGCCATCTGTTTCCATTTTTCCTCTGAAATTGTGTAGGACAGCAAGAGTAGTTGGAGGAGATAATATGAAGAACAAGCTGCATTATATACTCCTGCAAATTAGGAAGGATGCTTTCCTAGCTGCTAAAGTTGGGTGGGAAATGTTTTTCTCATCCTGTGAAAATATTAAGATTCTGAAATGTTTTTCCCCCTTTTTTATCTATCATACACCAGTATAAAGCTGAAACTATCTCCCCTTTCCCCCAGAAAGAGAAAATCATACAAAAAATGCTCTTTGAAGAGGTGGAGGTATTAGAAAAGGAGAGGAAGACTGAGGGAAATTAAGAGGAGCCACGTATGGATTATGCAGTGTCTGGGATGTGTCCATGTAGTTCCAGAGAGGCTTGAGCTGCCTACTTTCTGGCTATTGTGGGCAAAAAAAATGTGTCCTGAACTTCACAAGCCTTTTGAGGAAACTTTTTTCTCTTGAAGATTTGAGAAGAATCTTTTTGACCAGTTCAGAAGGCTGCATGAACTTAAAATGATTTTGTAGTTCTTAATTTTCATGCAGCTTACTACCATGACAGCCAGTAGTCTGGCTATACCCATTCACAGTTGCATGTCGTCAGTCACTGAAAACTGGGTGAGAAGGATGAGGTGCAATCTTCTTGAGTTCTGTTGTTGTTAGCCTCAGATTGTGTATTGCTCATGTACCCAGAGCAGGTACTATTAAAGATTAAAAGGAGGGAGGGGGGTAAAAGGTAGTTTTGTCTAGAAGTAGTAAACCAGCATTTTTGGGTTGGCTTTTTTAAAACTAGGATTTGAAATCTAACTCCCCAACTCTAAATGTTAAATACTCTCTCTTTTTTAATCTCAATTTTTTTTGCATGTGTATGTAGAGGCCTTTTCTGAAAATCATTGTTAATATTTCAAGGGCAAAACTGCAGTTACGTGTGCTGCTAAAGCCATTATAAATGCTTGCCTTCAGGGATTTACAATGTGTCTATTTTAAACTTGAGTTAAAACTTTGCAAACGCCAGTCTAGGCCTGGTGGGAATTTGAACTGCCTCTTTGTATCTGTGGGTCTGTTTGCTAAGTTTGTGTGATTCTCTGAAAGGCTGTTTTTTCTAAACAATGCTGGTTTTTTCCTCTATAAACCACTCGCCACACAGACACTCTGTTTCCTAGGAAACTTGAGTAGAGATTGAATTTCTCTCATATTATCTTTGTTCCTATATCATCTTTCTTATTTATTTTTAACTTCTCCTATCATCTTTCTTAACAATTCTTTGTGCTATTGTGTGTGTTTGCAGTTTTCTATGATCTGTTTTCCCCCCTTGTCCATTTGCATTTCTGAAGGGACTCATCAAAACTTTCATATGCAACATTTCTTTGTATTTGAACATACCTGACAGTTGAAATGCCAGATTGCTATTGTCTGTTTTGTGATAAACATATTCCAGTGGATGGTGGGTAGATGTATAAATAAATGAGCTGTAATTGCTCCCGAGTGTGAGACTGTTCTGAAAGGACAGTTGTGTCCTGCAATGCAGCAAGCAGAGTCCAACCTTTTAGTGTGTTGAACTGTGGGATTCCTTTGATCAGATCCTGCAAATCCTCATTCAAATGACTAATCATTTTGAAAGGATGCTAAAATACTGGGAAAATTAAACTGAAGGAACTGGCCTCTTTTTTAATTTATCGGTTTTCAAACAGAACTGATTATTTGAGCACTCGCTGTTTATTTGGAAGTAGCTTCTTGTGCATGTAAAAAACATGCCTTGCTCATGAACTGTATACCTTAAATGCTGAGTCAATAGGTAGCCTTTTCTAATGTGGTATTTATGGTGCCTGATCATTTGCTTTTGTTGCATGTTTTAATTTGATCCGCTGGTTGGAGATTGGTTGAGTTCTCAAACCTGTAAGTTGTTTGTAGGCAGCTGTATTAGCATTTCTAGCATGAGCAATCATGTAAACAGGGGTGTTCATTAACAGTCATCATAGTATTTTCCCTGAATGCTGTTACGGATGAGAGCAACGTGTTTTTTTATTTATATGTGTTCTACACAGACAAGGAAGTGCAGAGGGTTTTTTTAACCCATTTCTACTTATGCATCTGAATTCTTTAAGTAAAGTTTCGGGATCTGGTCTGTAATTTTTAATCTACAATTGCTTTAATACATGCTCAACTGTCTTAATGTTCTTGAATTTCAGTAAATGCATAAATATTTGCAGGTCTAGCCTATGATTGTGATTATCATGTAATGGTGAATTAGTTATTATTGAACCTTATACCAGGAGCACTGACCATGGAAGTCAATGAGCCAATTTTATATTTGTCTGCTCATAGTACAAGAGAAAGATTTGCGAAGTGGAGTTGGTTTTTGTCTTTTTATAGATAAAGGTTTAATCTCGTGTTTTCAGGTTTCCCCTTTTGAATAGTAAACAAAAGGGATTGTTTCAAATGCAGCAAGAGGAAAAATTGCTTCTCATTCATAAGTGGCTACTGATTGCATAAACTTATTTTAGGCATATTTACATAATACATATGGCTATGCATCTCTAATGCTTTTATCATTGATTTAGTACGTGACTCTAGGCGTGACAATTTCCCTGTTTCTCTGTTTCTTCCTCCTTAATTGTGTATAGTGATTATGTAGCACTGCTCTGTGTATTATGTTTGCACAGGGCTTTAGTAGAAATTGTGCTTGAGTATGAATGTAAAAATGTTAACAATTAATGTCTTTACTAATTAAAGTGGAATCTCATTGCTTACCTGGCATCAGACGCTAGTCAGCCTTGCGGGATCTGTTGAATCTGGTTTGTGTATAATGATGATTATGTAATGTATCCACTCCTCCATTGCTTTCTGACGTGTGTGCAGTTGTAGGTGAAGTGGCAGTAACAAGCCAGAAAAAGGCAGCAGTTTAAACCACCACAGTATTAAATTAAACCACAGAAATGCACCTGTTTGGTTAGTACAAAACTGTATTTGGTAGTTGCAGAACATTGAGTAATGTGACTAACTTATCTACAGGGAAGACCAGAATACTCATATTTTATTTGCTTTTTGTAAAGGATAAAGAGGAAAACTGATTACATAATGGCAAAACAGCAACTTAAATCAGTGGTGCAAATTTCTTCCATAGCACGTTAATCTTTGGTGGTGGTTGCATTTGGAATCTGTGTCCTCCTTCCTGTCCTTGCTCGCTGCATTTTGTATTCTGTACAGAAACCCTGCATACGTCTAGGTTATAAGTTGCTTTCAAAGTTTGCACAAAGTATTTGGTGGCAAAGAAATGATAATTTGATCAGTAGAATCCCTTGTTAGGATGATCTTGGGATTCCTAACCTCCAAATGGCTATTTCAGTCTCTAAGCAAGTCACATCTTGGATTTAGGTCATTAGTTTTCTTTTTAAGCTGACAATCTCATCAAGCTGCTCCTTTTAAGCACTGCTACTCCCTAAGGGCAATCTTTCTGGCTGTCCTTGGAGCAAGTCATTTAAGACTAGACATGCAGCTTTATGCCTCTTGACAGCCTTTTGAAATGCTGGGGCTTCAACAGCACACATTTTACAAGCTTCCTGTCTTCCTTTCTGAACAGGAGAGCAGTTAATGCTGTCTTTCATTTACCTGAACAGCCGTGTTTCTGCTAATTCCCTCATAAAGGTTCTCAGTTGGGCAGGTTTTATATATTTATTTATTCTTACTGAATGATATTTCAGGAAAAGCAGAGACATGGCAGCTAGCTCTGCTGTTGTGTTAATGAGCTGTGCCCTCTGTCCATCCACTGATGGATTGTAAATCATTAAAATAGCTCCCTGGTAAGCACTCGGAGCATATTTCATCTGGGTTTCATTTTTTAATGCATAAGTGAGCTGTACATTCCATAAGCACGTATGAGTGCTATGGCAACAAGAACTAGGAGGCTTGTGAGAACTGCATGGTATTCACTGAAGCAATGTTTTCACCCATCAGGCACTTGTGATGACAACACCCAGTATTACTTTTTGTCATGTTTCCAGTGAGACATGTACCAGCACTCTTGCTGAGACAAATATTTGTTTACCCCTTTAATCAAGATCTGCTCTGCCATTATCAGTTCTTTTCCGGTAGTATAAGGAGCAAGGTTTATTGGATGCAGTGTCTTGCAAAACTTGTTTAATGTAAGAAAAGTACAGCTCTGTAGAAACTTTGCTGATGGGGCGTTAGCATTGGCCTAGTCAGATAAAGCCTATGGTGTTAGTAAGCTCTCTTTTATGTGCTTAAAACAGGGCTGAATCACTTTTGTATCAGAGAGACATTGCTTTTTAGATTTTTGTGCTCTGTAGAGGGGACCAAGCTGTCTCTGATCTAAGATTATGTTTTGGTTTTAGTGTGGTGTATTTCAAAGCTCTCACTGACTTCCGAGGAAAGAGGATTAACGTATCTCTGGCAATAGGTTGGTCCCACTCATGCTGCTGTTCTGCAGTGTGGGTGAGCTGTTAGTGCACGTCCCTGTACTGGTGTTTTCGGTTTTAGTGGGAGGTAGGGTTAGCTCTTTCCATGCTTGTAATGTGCTTGCTGCCCAAGTTCCACCCACTCAGACTTACTGGTTGAGCAGCTCAGGAGAGCTGCTCAGTCACACTGAACTGGGTGTTTCATTCATCTTTCCTACTTGTTTCATTTTCACTGAGTCCAGGAGCTTTCAGAGGACCCACTTCCCATGAAAAGCTGGAAGACCTGTATCTTTCAGTAGGCAGATAGTGGGGTCGGTAACTTCCCAGAACCATAGCAGGTCGAAGAAGGCATGTGCACAGATCTTAATGAGGTTAAGGTTAAATTTGAGCAACCATTTCCAGAGCTGGGGGAATGCAGCTGCTATGGTGGTATTGAAGATTTTTCCGAAGTGTTTATTTACTGAGATGGGCAGGAATTCAGAAGTTGCATTTATTCTGAGAAAGAGTAGTGTTTTGAGGATGCTTTGTATCTCTGAGTCTTCCTGAGTTGTTATAGTGGGGAGTCTAGAGTAGAAACAGCTCAGTGAAGGAGGTTGTTTGGTGAGGTAGGAGTTAGCTGTTGAACTGCTGGCACAGGTAATAATAGTGGTTGCTCTGAATTTTTGTAGCTGATTATACAGCAGTACTTTAGCAAAACTTCCTTCACCCTCTCTGATGAAGGAAAAGGGTTGGAGGAAGTAGTCTGTGGTTATCCTGAAGTTGGAAGCTAGTGGGATCTATTTTGATTTCTTCCATAGGCTTTGGCAAACAATTTAGCCTACCCGCTGCTTAAGTTTGAGAAAATATTCTTTTAGTACTATTTGGACAGACATTGCCATTACGGAGAGACTGTATAAGCCATTGTTTTCCCCATTACAACTCAAACCTATTGATAGAGTAGGTAATTAGGGTGGCAGAAAGACCTTTTGGATAACAGGATTCTGCCTTTTTATAGATAATGTAACTGCTACAGCTGCACCGCCCAATACCTATGGCACAGAAAAGCTCAGGACTAAAGATAAGCTGTTTCTTTTCAATGGTTCTTAACAGAAGATGTTAACCACAGTCATACTAACTAGAAGACACTTCCTCCCCATACACGCTCCTCACACATAGGTTCTGGCCAAAAGCTGATTGGAGATGATGTGTTAATTTTTCTTTGTGAAAATGCGAAGAAACAAACCTTGCTGATCTTGGAGGATATTGGGACATTTAATTTATTAATGTTTGTGCAACAAAGTTATGTAGATGGGAAGCTGTATCTGTAACAACACGGTAGTAGTTTTTCCTGTGTTCCCTGTTTAAATGTTCACTTGCACTAAAAATGTCTACTACTTCAGAATCTTGATCTGCAGAGACGACCATCTCTGTGAAGAGTATATTCATTACTTGAACAGAAAAGGAATTGTCTGTCAGCAGAGCCTTTTCTTCTATTTTTCTTCTCCAGCTGAGAAAGAATAAGCATAATCTCAGAGAAAATATCTCTCAGCAGAATTTACTATTAATTTGGTTTCCTAATGACACATAGCTTCTCATTCACCTTTCATTCAGTGCAGGCGTTGTGGTTTAACCCTGGCCAGCAACTAAGCACCATGCATCTGCTTGATCACTCCTCCCCACCCAGTGGGATGGGGGAGAGAATTGGAAAAAAAAAAGTAAAACTCATGGGTTGAGATAAAGACAGTTTAATAGGACAGAAAGGAAGGAAATAATAATAATGATAATAATAATAATAGGATTGGAATATATGAAACAAGTGATGCACAATGCAATTGCTCACCACCTGCCAACCGATGCCCAATTAGTTACCACACAGCAATCCTTCCAGGCCAAATCCCCCCAGTTTATATACTGGGCATGACATCACATGGTATGGAATACCCCTTTGGCCACTTTGGGTCAGCTGCCCTGGCTGTGTCCCCTCCCAACTTCTTGTGCCCCTCCAGCCTTCTTGCTGGCTGGGCATGAGAAGCCGAAGAATCCTTGAGTTAGTCTAAACACTACTTAGCAACAACTGAAAACATCCATGTGTTATCAACATTCTTCTCATACTGAATCCAAGACATAACACTATACCAGCTACCAGAAAGAAAATTAACTCTATCCCAGCCAAGACCAGGACAGCAGGTAAGAAATGAGTTTTAGAAAATTGAATTTTGCAAGTATAGTGGCGAGGATTATTCTTCTAAGAAGAGTATTGGCTAGCTAGCTATTAACTGAAGCTTTTAGGTATTGTGTTCAGGTAAGTGAAAGCATCACACTGAAAACGTGAGATGTCTTCTAAAGTATTTGTATGGCTAAAGACAGAGACAATTTAATATGCATTATTTAAATATCCCTCTAGCTTTTTATCTTCAGTGTTCATTTTGGATTTCATTGTCTCATCCTGTATTTGAAGCATTAATGGGCAAATGACCTAATATGTGTGGATATTGACCTTGCATAAAGATGTATGAGTGATAATATCATAGTGTTATGTGGGAAATAATTATTCCTATGCTCCTTGTAAGAGAGAGTGCAAGTTTTTTAATTGATTGTGAACAAAAGGAAGAAGGTGAGGAAGGAGCAGAAGGTCTGAAGTTGGTGTCTACTGATATAACCTGATTACGACAGTATATGGTCTTCGTTGTTAAAGGTCATGAGAAATGCATAAACCGAGGAAGTGTTGAAAGGCAAAAAGTGCTGCCATTAGTATACTGAGATTGTCTGATGCAATTTGTTTTATTTTTGTTTCTACTTTTATTGATGTGACACACAAGCTCCTCAAGCCAAAGGCTGTCTTCTGTAATGCTTACATTTTGCCTGAGACAATGGGATATCTGTCTATTGCTCTGCTAATGATTCTGCAACAATCCAAGTAATTATAGGTAATAATGGACTAATAAATGAGTAATACACTTTTGTAAAAGTAGTTCCTATGTGAGCTACTTACTTATTTCTGAGCATGCAAGTGTCAACTATTATTAATATTAAACATGGAAATTGCTTGTGGTATGTTTTATTCATTATTGCTATTGTAACAAAAGCTTTTTTGTTTTTGTTTTGTTTCTCTCTTAGGCTCAAAATGCACAGCAGCTTCATGAGAGGATCCAGTCTTCTAGTATGGATGCGAAGTTAGAAGCACTGAAAGACTTAGCCAACTACTCACGGGATGTTACATTTGCCCAAGAATTTATAAACCTAGATGGCATTTCCCTCCTAACACAAATGGTTGAAAGCGGCACAGAGTAAGTATCCTGCTTAAGCTCTGAAGTTCCTCCCATATGGGGTGCTTTCACGTTCACTCTCTGAGTGCCTGAAGTATTTCTGTATACAACTTATAAGATTATATAAAATCAAACATCTGAAAAGTTCTGGGCTGCTAGAATAGTATATCCATTATCAGTGAGAATATTTTTTAATTTCCCCTAACAATGGGCTGATGGGGATTGGGGGTAAGCAAAGTAGGAAGTCACAAGTACCTTCTGTGCCATGACGTTTTGGGGAGACTGGTCCTAGTTTCTTCTCTACCCATTGGAATTTAGATAAATCATTGATAGTATATTCAAAGGCTGATATTTAAGTCATGTCATCTGAAAACTGTGTTGTAATTTTCACGTTACTGAGAACTTGTGGAGCAAAACCCAGTGCTTACTTTATTTCCATTTTTATTGTTTTAATTCTGGCTGAGGTTTTTCAAATGGCAATGGCTTTCAGACACAAAATTGAAATCTGACCGCTGAAAATACATTTATTCATTACCAGAACATCTTGCCAATTTTCACCATTGGTAAAATTCAGGACCATAGTCCTGAGTAAGTGTCTATTGGCTTAATGTGGAGGGTACTACAGAAAAGTATCAACTGGATTGTTGTACTATTAAATTATGTTTAACAGTTACTATTTCAAGTAGGCTTTTGCTCAAGTAAGATTTTTAGTGTTTGTAGTCAGTGTCAACCTCTACTACATGTAAACAAATCAACAATATCCGCACCCTTTCCTGAGAGAAGGAAAATGCTTTGAAAGTAGCTTTCTTATTTGTTGGGGGTGTTCAGTCTTGTGGACCAGACTTCAGAAGTCAATTGCTGAATCAGTCCAAATCCCCTCACAAATCAGCTCATGTTCCCTTATAGGGTTAGGGGGTAAAGCAAAAGTAGTAAGTGGACTTTGAAATGGAACACAAATTGTCTCTGATGACCCCACACAAGATATACTGGAATTTTCCACAGAATAATTAAGTACTTTTTAGAATTCAGTAGCCCTTAGATTGGGAAATGTAAAAGCACGCTGCCACTGATCCCTGCCTGTTATTGTGGTCAATGGTTTATTGGACTTTGAATCCCTCATGCCTAACTTCAGCTACATACTGGATTTCCAATGGCTCATGGTTTCATCTTAAGTGTTTTGGGGTTATGGTCTTTATTTTTTGCAGTGATGTGGTCTGTGGCACATATTATGCCACTTGACTAGAAGCAGGTTTTTTATATTTTTTTTTATCAAATTTGTCAACTAGTCTTATATTCATATAATATTTGTTGTTTAGGGACCAAATTAAATTTAAAAACAAAGACAGGTTTAAGTTGATGTAAACATATGCACACCCAGTTACTGTACTAATTAAAAAATATACTGAATGGGCAGGCTCACATGTGCCTATGAAGATCAGAAACATAAGCAAATCACAAGTCACTGCCTCTGTACTTAATTTTGTCATGGATTTATTTAAGTTGTTTAACTTACTCAGCTGCAGAAGGTATTTAAAATAAAGCACTTCATTTGCTATTGAAACAGACAGGGAACATTCCCATTTTTTACAAGCATTTCTTTTAGCTGCATCAAGGCTAAAGCAAGTGCCCTCCTCATGCTTCGGATGTGTTTGTACTACTGTTTTGCAGCTGTGGGATGGGCCAAGCTGTAGGAGACTGGTCTGGATTAAAAATAACTATTTGGGAGGGAAACTACTTAAGCCAGAACCACTATTGAAAGAACTGCTCAGCAAATTACACCCTAGTAGTAATTCCTGGCTGAGGGTATAAGTTTTCAAACCACACAGCAGGCTTGTAGACTGGACATAGGAGCAAAGTCTACTTTGCCTTTTTTTTTTTTTTTTTTTAATGGCTTGCATTTGGAGGGATTTCAGATTTTGCTTTTTAGCTGGTGTAATGTATCACCAAAGATGCACTGATCAGTCTACCTGTCTAATCTATTTATCAGTGTTTCTGCCTGTGGGGAGAAACGCTATCTAGTTTGGGCATTGAACAAAGACTTAGACTGTGAGAGTTTCCAGCAGCTTCACGTGTTGATGAACTCTCAGTAGTCACTGCAGTCTTTTCTGTGTTCAGCAGCCTAGACATTTTGCAGATTCTGAGGGGGTCTGGAGGTCGGGTTTTTCCAAGTCTGGTTTTGTGAAGGGAGTTGTAAAGCAAGGACATCTGTGCTACGCTGTACATTCCCTTCTGCTTTTATACTGTGCATTACTGGCTGATAAATACATATTTAATAGAACTTGAGATTTAATGAAAGGAGCAAACCCTAATATACACAGACTTAGCAGCCTAAGCCTGCTGTGGTGCTGCTGCTTTCCTTTCTCGTCTGACTTCAAGCTATTGATCCTGTCCTCCCACTTCAGGGTCTGTAACTCTTTGCTATTTCAGCACGCTAAGCCAACAGACAAACGACTTCCTCAGAAGAAGATTTTTGTTTTGGTTTGGTTTGGTTTTTTACTTCATTATCACAACAAAACAGTTTCCTAAAATGGCCTGTGAGTGAACAAGGTGTGTGTGGGAGGTGAAGAAGGGTAATATATGGAGGAGAGAGTGGGACAAGGACAGCCAGCCATTCGAGCACCCTAGGCTGTCAAGGAAAAGCAACTGGAGTCAGTCAATTGTCCTCCTATGTTTTCTATTCCTGTTTTTGCTTGGACCCTCTGCAGTACCATTAATAAGAGGTCCCGCAAGATGCTCGCTGAACAGGCAAAGCAAGCTGAAGGCCTCCTTGCCATTAGCTTCCACCCTGGGCTGTGTACCCTCAGCAGGGTGGCCTTGTGGGCTGTGCTGCTGACCAGGTCACCAAAAATGCTTCAAACCAAAAAGCTCTTTTTCCTCCTTTTCCCTGCCCCAGTACCTGCCACTTTCTTTTCCCCAATGGTATTTTTAGCTCTGATCATTTCGGTGTCCATAGGTGGACCTATCCAAATAATTATATTAGCATCACAAAGTGGGGACAGTATTAGAGGAGGATTGAGCAGCCAGAAATTTCAGGGAAGGGCAGAAACTTCTTTGATGGCCCAGTTTTAGAACAGAAAACATTTTGTAAAGATACATTTAAGATATATCTTCACTGTGGAGTTATTTTACCCACCTTTGAGTTACTGTTTTTGAGCCAGCCTTGCTTGAGTGAGGCTATGACGCAACCATACAGGTGAGAGAACCCTAATGGCTTGGTGCTTCTAAGAGAAGGTCCAGCTCCCACCCTCTTCTCCCATTCCTTGTGAGTTAATCCCCTCTCTCCAGCCCAGTCCTGCTTCCTTCTGGAGCCTGGTTCTGGTGTCCAGATGCTTCATAAAGCCAATGCAGCTTGTTAACTTGGTTGCAAAGTTTTGCAGTTAGTTTTCTGCTTGGTTTGGGACTTGAAGAAGCAAGAGAGGAAGCGGGCATGAGTGGATGCAGAAAAGACCCTTTTTTGTGGCTACAAACCATTACATTGGCCTAGGTGCATCATTGAGCCACAACCTGAGAGCAGTTATGTTGTGAAATAGCATGAGAGTGCCTGTTTGTGCTCTGGTATTGCAACCTGGAGACTTGGCACTAAGGCTCTGTGGGGGTCAGAGGGAAATGGGACATACCCTGTGGGGTGGCTGCTGCTGTGCTGCAAGGAGCCCCTCTGTGTGTTTTCCCAGCTGCCTGTGGGTTAACGCAGCTGAGGACAGCCCTGCATCAGTAAGCCCAGGCTGAGTGGTGCCTCTGTTCACGGTGTGGTGCAGCTGTGCTAGAAATCGATGAATTTTGTTAATTCAAGCTTTATTCTCTATTTTCCCCAAAGGGACAGGCAGTGCTCATTAAAAGTACCATCATGCTCCGTGTAAGGTTGCTCTGAGGTTTTCTTTGCACGTGGGACTCATGTTAGGGGCAGATCTTAAGTTATAATTTGAGCGTGTGATTAAGTTTTAGTGGGCAGCCTCTGGAAAGTGAGACTCCAGCTTTTTATATAACTTTCACCGAGGAAGAGACCTGTGCTTTATTTATAGTTGGCTTTATTTATTGTGCTACTTATAGTCATCAGCTTCACTGAAATAATAAAAGTACAGTGACCAAAGTAAGAGAATGTAAATCCCTGGGTTTTTAGTTACCTCTGCTTCATTTTGCTGGTGATGAAAAGAAGTAGTAGTATATAAAGTTGACAAGAACTAACAGTGTTTCCTAGTTAATTTTCCATATGTTGTATTCCTGAATATTGAAGAAAATTAAAATGCATTAGAGAATAGCCTTTCCAGCTTCTTACTGTTAATATAGCTTGAAAAATAACAAATTGAGAGAGGTTTTTTTTTTTTATTTTGCATATGTTTTCAAAAGTGGTTTCAATACTATGTGTAGGTACCATAATTTGGGCCAGATTTCCTTGAATGCCTGCTGCTTAGAGCAAAGGAACTGTAGACGTGTTGTGTACTGGGACAAAGCTATAGGGGCTGGTGGTAGGCAGATTGTAGGTTGCATGGGGCCCTGGTGAAACGGAGAGTGCATCTTGTCTATATGAATATATTTACATTGGCAGAGATGCAACATGTCTTAGAAACTGTCCACATGTATCTCAATCCTGTTGATTGAGATGGCTCATCTTTGTTTTTCCTTCAGGCTCATTCTTGCTTCCAGAGCATGCTATGAGTCTCTTATTAACTGAAGGAAAAAAAAAAGAGGACACCCCCCCACATTTTTATGTTTATTTTTAAGGTTTGGGTGACCTATGTATTATAGCAGAGACTGCAAGACGAGTAAAGTCATGAAGAACCACTAAATGCTTATTCCATTTTATAATTATCCATGATGTCCAATCATTTCTCAGACTCTGCATCTGTATCACCAAAGAGGGGTGTGGGTGTGCACACACACACACAGTTATTTACCTTTTAAGAGACTTTTCAGAAAGATTTCCATAGAGCTTCTAATGCTAGTTTTTCGTCTGAAGCCCAGTTTGTGCCTAATTACGGGGAGCTGAATATGCAGTCCATCTGGTTGGATGTACAGACAATGTA